AACGGTAATCTGTTATGCCGATATAGATCTCTATAGGTATTTATAGTCAGTCAGTCTCTTGAACCTTCATCAACTTGAACCTGCAAGTATGCATCCGCAAAATCACTATGCGTGAAGCACCGGCCTCCAGTTAAGGCTGCGAATATGTCCTCTAGAAACGGCAACAGGCACTGATGCAATTCCAGTGCTTCATTAAGCTCATTTAAAAGTCGGCACATACACGTATTTTGCCATTGGTCTTTTTTACTACTACTATCAACGCTGTCTAAACCAAATGTTCAACTTTCGATATCACCGTTGCTGTTCACTGCGATCTAATTATTGATTAGTTGCTGTTTGTGCCACACATGGTACAGGCCTTTTTGGACGGAAAACCGGCTTAGCACCAGATTTAAGACACAGCACTGTTTTAGCTTTTGTGCAGCATCCCGGTTTTTCTCGAGAATCTCTGGGTAAAATTTTGCTATTATTTCAGCCGTACTATTTTGTTTGTGCTCGGAAACAACGGCAACTATCTCTGCCGCCTGATAATATTCTCCTGCAAGTAACATATTTATTATGGGATGGACTCCCAGTGCAGTGATTTGTTCTACATCGAGTCTCTATCGTCAGGGGCATAACACCGACCTTTTACTGTTGTGTCTTAGAAACTGCAATCAAACACGCCTTCAGACTGAAGAAGCTGGCCTGATGCACTCAATGCTTTCAAGGGTATTGGTTGAAAAGGTAGCGATCCGACTTGCACCCACGATCTATGCATAATGATGATTATGTCCGAGTCCTTTCCACGGATATTATTCTGACTCCGGAGAACCTTTTCTTCTTGGCTTCATATCGCTTTGAATTTTACTTGCAACCGAAAAGAAGCCTTCTTTATAACCCCACTGCTTACAGTCTTGGCATCTATGTCTTCTCAAATGGTAATCTCGAACAAAATATACTTGTCCACATAATATGATATTTTGGAGTAAGCTGACAACTTCGAGAATGTTTATTCTCCTCTCTTAAATAAAAACCTGAGAAATAAACGAATTTAGGAATGCTGTTTTGTACGGTGTCTATGATTGGTTCCAATTTTCTGGTACTCTGCTCATCAAGCGAAATAACCGTTAACTTTTCACATAACTGTCCTGCCAGTTCTTCCTGCTGTTTTCGCTGGGCATCCAAGATTCGCTGGAACGTATCAGCATCAATCATCCTGATCGCCACTGTTGTGTCCGTTGCAATACAAGTTGATTTCGATTTTATTAGTACAACGAAAATACCACTTGCAGTTAAGAAGCTCCCGGTCTAGGGTTCTTCGGTTAATGCTGACCGGGTTCCCCAGTGCCTTCGCGCTCCAGGTTCTTTCGAGCCAGTGCCGAAGTTGCTCCTTGGAAGATGTTGGTTTCCACCATACCGGCCGCACAGCTCCGTCGATAACCAACACAGTCCCTAAACTTCTCCAATCGATCTGCGCTCCGAATTCGGTTTCTGCGCTGGAACGTTCTCGAAGGGAGAACAAGGTTACTTGCTCCCAAACGACCACTTGCTTGCTTCTGATAATTAACAATTCTAATACTCAAGTGCTGTTCCATGATTCTTTCTTGCGCAGACCCCTTGACATTTTCGAACCGAGTAAAGTGAAACTCCTTGAAAAAGCAAAGGATCAAAGACAGCTCATGAAGCAAAAAATGGCTTTCAAACCGAAATCAAGCTCTCATTCCCATTTTAAGTCTTTTGTTATTTGGCCCCGTTCTTTGACACAGAAAATGGATTCCCGCATTTCTCATTAAGTTTGGTAGTGTAAAACCTTACTAAATTATCCACAATTTTCAAACCCCCATAACACTTTCAAATCCTATTTCACAAATTTCACAATACAAATCTTACAAATTCTAAATCTTATTTTTTTAACATATCCTTGATTGACAGGTCAAGGATCTGCTCTCTCTTTTTAATTCGCGCATAAATTACCCTGTGATTTCCTTCTCATGAGCAGCTGTGCTCATTATCACATGTTCATTCATGTTTCCCAAACAACCGCCCTAATTAACTACCTTAAAAGTCCATAAGTTAATTCTTTCTCCCAATTTTTTGACAGCTTTAGCTGTCAAAACAAAAATCAGATCTTCAGCAAAACCTTTTCTCATCCCAACCCTCAATCTTCTAACCTTTCCTCCAATTGTTCACGCCTCTTTTAACCCACCATAAAAATACCCTTCAACACTATTCAGGGCTGATGGTTTTAAATTCGTAATCGAACTGGATTCTGTTTTTCGATATACTTCATCGACTACCA